GTACATTTTGGCAAATTCCAGTGTGGCCTTTCTATTCTTTTTGCTCATTAGAATCTGCATGTGTAGCCTTTGTACTTTTGTTTATGAAGACCTCTGAAAAAAAACTACATTGTGGCACCTCAGCTCCTGCCAGAGGTTGTTGCTGATGCTCTCAAAGTTGTTTTTCGGCTGCAAATGTGAGCCTCTTGACATGTTTTAATGTTTTGATGTCAAACCCAAATGTTATCAGCTGGAAAAAAAAAAAAAAAGGAATTAAGCCACCTTTCCTGATACGCTTGGATAGGGTGTATATTTTAAATTAAAAATAATGACTGATATTAAAAAGGTTATATGTATTGGTGTCGTAAACAAATTGCCAATGGTGTTTTTTTAGGAGGAACAGTATATGACATTTTGGGTGTTCTACTGTATAGTTTGTCAACATATCATTTTATTTTTAAATCATAAATATAACAAAATATGTAGTTACATTTATATACTGTATATAATAGCCGAACATAAAAGATTTTCTGGCCTCTGGACCAAAACATAGAATAACTAAAAAAAAACCCAGCAGGCTATGTCGACAGCCAATTTCCGTACAAATCTGGCGAATGTTCCTATTTTAAGCATTCGGTAGCTCTATCCACCTTCGGCCAGTACCGAGGTTTTATCAGTAAGAGCATGTAACGCCTGTGCTGTTCACAGGGCGATTAAAGGTTTATTTACTTGAGGAGACATGGGAAAAAAAGTCCAGCGTTGGCAGACCAACACAGTGTGCGAGGCACAGGCACATCACTCACCACCAGTGGCGGACCCTGAGGGCCAGCAAGGCCTTCTCTGCTGGCCTAAACATTTTCAGAAAAGTAAATTTACTTTTCTGAGAATAACATAAATTCGTTATTTTATTTTCATAACAATATGTTATCAAAATTATTCTCTGTATTCTTTACGTCATATTATTTCCACTTAGTTGAGTGGCTTTCAATGTTATTTTAAATAACATTGAACGCCACTCGAAAAATAACTTATTTATTATGGTAGAGTTTTTAACCAATCATATTTCATCTAGCTTGTGTTGCCAGGTTAATTAAACTTGCTCGTGGCCTTCAGATTAAACAGAGCAGGCCCCTGTGCGCTGTAAATGAACGGGCACCGTCAGGTTTCAATAGCCAATCAGATCACGAGACTCGTGATCTGTATCCTGTATCCTGACGCCTACTAGGTAGCTAGAGGGCCTTACGTCGAGACTGGCCGTGCGCGTTCGGTGATTGGATTAGCACCTTTTCTGTTTCCTGAGAATTGTATCCTGACTTGTTCAATAAAGATTTAAAAAAAAAAAAGATTGGATTCGCTCTGCTAGAGCTGTCACTCGCATTTTAACTCAAAATGGCAAAAGGAGAAGCCCTTCATCTGGCTGCAGAACTACTTTCCACACAATGTGCATGACGAGCCTTCCACGAAAAGCTGGAAATTGTGCAAAGAGGTCGCCCAACTCCTGCGCTAGTTAGCCTGTCCCACCAAGGAAAAGGGGTTGTCCGTCATTTTCAGACGAGCAATTATGAACGGTACCGTGTCTCACAGCCTTTGAGAAACGCTGGAAATTGTACTGCTGAGAATGCCTCTTGCTTGCAACTGACCAGTGCGTTTAAAAACATTTGGGGACACTCGCGTAGATCTGCAGCTCGGTAAACATGCACGCCGGGAGACGGAGCTCCACAACGAAAAAG